GATCTCAGACCTATCAGTTTATTACCAATTTTATCCAAAATGTTAGAAAAAATTATAAAGTTCCAAATGACCGCTTATCTAGAAAAATTCTTTATACTTCCCGACACTCAATCCGCTTTTAGAAAAAATTATAGTACAACATCTGCCCTACTTAATCTGCAAGACAATATTTTAAGTGCCTTAGATAAGAAAGTGGCACTAGCCTTAATCTCTATAGACTATTCGAAAGCCTTTGGCAGCATCAATCATAAATTATTACTTGCTAAATTAAATTACATAGGTCTTGACAGTATATCCCTTTCATTTTTTGACAGTTACCTTCATCAAAGAACTCAGTGTGTTTTTCTCAATCAAGAAATGTCTCAAGTGACAATAATTCCCTCAGGCGTACCTCAGGGCTCTGTATTGGGGCCGCTTCTGTTCCTCATATATACGTTCGACTTGAGCAAAAGTATTGATAATTCTCATGTCCAGTCATTTGCAGACGATACGCAATTGCTCCATTATTTTAACCCAGATAATATCAATAACACTACTCAAATTTTACAAAACGATGTTAATAAATTAATTAAATACTCTTTAGATCACAATCTACTTATTAATCCACAAAAATCTAAAATGTTATTATTTTGCGCACAAAGAAAAACATACAATGTAACACAGCTCTTGAACATTCAGATAAATAACCAAATTTTCTGATTCTGCAAAAATTCTTGATGTTGTTTTTGATACAAAATTAAGGTTTATTGAACATGTTAAAAGTCTATCTCAGAAAACCTACCTACGGCTGCGCACTCTTAAAGCAAACAGGTATTTACTAAATTTTAAATTGCGTAAAAAACTATGTGAAGCATTGGTCATATCTATACTAAATTATTGTAATATCGTATACTATACTTGTTTAGACAATTTCACTAAAAACGTCATTCAAGTTATTCAAAACAATTGCATACGATTCATTTTTGGCTTACGTAAATTTGATCATGTATCAGCGAAATATCCCGTTCTAAACTGGTTAAAAATTAATGACATGGTCAAGTATCACTATTCAGTTTTTGTTCACAAATTGCTGCTCACGTCTAAACCTTATTACTTGAAGGAAAAAAATTCATTTAATAATGATGTTCACTGTAGAACTCTCAGAGAAAATAATATTAGAATACCCCTGCATACGTCTACACTTTTTAAACGCAGTTTTTCTTACAATGTTGCTATTATTTATAATGACCTTCCTAAAGTATATACAGAATTTTCATTACCTGTCTTTCGACAAAAAGTTAAAACATTATTACTCAACTCTCCAAACATATAATTTACGTAATCATTCATTCGTTTCTTTTTTATACCATCTTTAATTCAGATTAATAATTTTTTGGTGCATTTGGGTTTGGATAGTATGCCTTTTTCTCTTTTTTTAAATTTTACTTTCGATGTACTGAACCAAATCTGTTTGTGGATAGTATATTCTTTTGAACATCTGCTAGAGGTTAAGTGTAAGAGTAGCAGCATGCTAAACTTCGCCATATAAGTCTGACATTTGGCTACTACAATGTAATTGTGGATAAATAAAGACGTCTATTATTATTATTATTATTATTATTATTATAAACCATCTTTTTAAGTTCTCCCCAATACCAGAAATCCATCGGATTGAGGTCAGGAGATCTTGCTGGCCACTTTCGTGGATCAGGTGCATTTCGACCCATCCAGCGATTTGGATAATGTTCATTCAAATACTGAATGACACCTCTAAAAATGTGTAGTGATGTCCCGTCATGAAGAAACTACAAATTCTGTCTGCGTTGTAATGGCATGTTGTCTAAGGTCTGTTCCAAAACTTCTGGTAGGTTATTGGCAAGAAAGCTAAGGTATCCTTCTCCTGACAACTTTGAGGGTAACTCGAAAGGGCCAATTACCTGATCGTCAAGAATACCCGCCCAAATATTTATTTTAAAGCGTTGTTGGAAATGACCTTGACGAATGGTATGAGGATTTTCTTGGACCCACGTATGAGAATTATGGAAATTTGATATCCCGTCTCTCGTAAAACTACATTCGTCCGTCGCTAGAATGTTTTTAAAAAAACCCGGATTTTCAATGTTTTTGTGCAAAAACCGCTGACAGAATGTTAGTCTGCGAGGATAGTCATCTGGTAACAAGGCCTGCACTTGTTGTACATGGTAGGGACAAAGCAAAATTTCCCGTAGGATTCTATGGTCTATGGTATTCGATAGTCCTTCGCGGCGGACTAGATATCTGCATTGATTTCCACGATATTTAAAATTTGTTCCTCCTGCTCTACAGTAACCTGTCTTTCACGAGTGCGAATATTAGTGGGCTGAACACTTCCTATTTCTCGAAGTCGTTGATACACTTGCACAAATGTCCTTCTGTCTGGGTGTACCCGCTTCACCGTAAACTAACAACATGTCGGCGAACTCTTGATTCGTGAACATTGTAAATAAACACGACGACGTACGCGAACAAAAACAAAACAACAGGCCTGATGCCCGATAACTAACCACTGTTACCGTTTGCGATCGATTGCCGGTTCGATAAGAGTGATGAAAGCCGACGCGCTGTTGTCATGTGTGCTTTAAATATTTAATTTAATGAAACTTACTTACTGACTACAAATTTTGGCTTAACTTAGAAAAACTTAATGCCGTTTATTTGTCAATTACCCAATTTAAAAACGATTTAGATTAGATTATAAAAATTAGTAAGATTATGGTGATTGTGGTCGATATAAAGCACTTAAAGTTGTAACTATAAAGCCATTTAGACAAAAATCTATTGACTTTTGGACCATGGGTCAGTTGAACTTTTTGACTTGTTTTGACGCCCTCTATTACCCATTTAAATAATGACTACCATAACGTTTCAGTAATTATTAAGAACCTCATTTGGAGTTGGGCTCTTTCGCCTAAATGTGAAGATAAACTTATGCAGTTTTTAGACAATACGCTTTCATGAAAAATTATAGGTAATTTTGAGGCACTTGTGTAATTACTCCCAAAAAGCACTGTCATTTACTATTTACGTAGATCAAAATCGAATGTATGATATAATACAGCTTTATTTCTTACACAGTATCACTCACTACCATAAATTTGTAAACACCGACCAAAAAAATAAACATAATCATTATACCAGGTACAAAATTCGTGGCACAGTAGTTCCTCAACCGCATAAATCTATAATGCAGCGATCATATCTCTATTTAGCGCCTAAATTTTATGAAATTATACCTAAAGACTTAAAAGATTTACGTTTCGGAAATTGTTTCAAAAGAAATTTAAAAAAGTGGCTACATTCTATATCTAGGACTGAAATTCATAAACTCATAAATACGAACATCAACTAAATACATAATCTACTGTAGCTAATTTTTGTCCTTTTTTGTTATTTGCATTCTACAGTTTCAACTTAAATTATTGGTCCATGTACAGGCGATGCCTTCTATTGGGCCTGTTTTGATTTTATATTTATTTACTCATATTGTTTGTCATCTTTGTACATTGAGTGAATAAATATTATTATATATTATATATAATCATCAATATGCATTTTACAAACCTAAGGAGGCAAAAGTTGGGCTACTTGGCTCATTTCAAATTTCATAAAACAAATCAGTAGTTTTTACGGTTTGAGCTTAGGAAAGCGAAATATAATGGGTGATTTTTTTGCTAATATCTTTTTGGCAACACTGTTTTGGACAGATGACGCGTGAATCGTGTCTTGTGTCATTGTCAAACTTGTTCAGTTTGGTCTATAATTTAACCATGAATCGACTTACGAACGAACAACGCTTGCAAATTATTGAATTTTACTATCAAAACTCATGCTCGGTTAAGAGAGTGCATCGAGCACTGCTTCCAATTTATGGGCAATTTGGTCGGCCTACTGAGGGAGCTATTCGGAAGCTTGTGACTAAATTTCAAACCCAGTTTACATTATTGGACATTAAACCACCAACACGCAGACGTAGAGTGAGGACTGAAGAAAATATTGAGGCTGTATCCGCCAGTGTTAGTGATGACCGTGAAATGTCGATTCGCCGCCGTTCGCAGCAATTGGGCCCCTGTTACTCCACTACGTGGAAAATTTTGCGACAGGATTTGGGTGTAAAACCTTATAAGATACAGCTGGTGCAAGAATTGAACCCACACGACCTCCCACACAAGCAAAATTGCCGCATCTGGAGTGAAGACCAGCCAGAAGCATTGCAAGAGCTACCAATGCATCCCGAAAAAATCACTGTTTGGTGTGGATTATGGGCCGGTGGCATCATCGGGCCGTACTTCTTCAAAGACGACAATGGCCGGAACGTAACTGTGATTGGCGAGCGCTACCGTGCGATGATAACAAACTTTTTTTTGCCCAAAATGGAAGAGCTGGACTTGGCTGACATGTGGTTTCAACAAGACGATGCCACATGCCACACCGCACACGAAACAATGGCCCTATTGAGAGGCGAGTTCGGTGAACAGTTAATCTCACGTTTGGGGCCCGTCAATTGGCCGCCTAGATCGTGTGATTTAACGCCGTTTGGACTATTTCTTGAGGGGCCATGTTAAGGCTAATGTCTACAGGGATAAACCAGCAACGATTGACGCACTGGAAGCCAATATTGAAGCATTTATTCGTGAGATACCGGCCGATATGTTGGAGAGAGTGCCAAAATTGGACCTTGCGCATGGGCCATCTAAAGTGCAGCCGCGGCCCACATTTACATGAAATAATCTTTAAGCATTAAATTATATCGACCGTTCTATCGACTCAAATAAAGATTTAATCGTTTTTTCAAATTTTTTGTGTTTTTTTTTTTAAATCAAATCCTATACCTTTTAAAAAATCACCCGTTAGTAAAACGGACCATGACAGCTGATAACAACTGACAGCTGTAGTGCGTAATTCGAATTCGAAACGACTACCTATTAAGAAGTCGGATGATCGCTTGCTACAGTTTTTCCTAACTTTCTCGTTTTTTTTTTCAGATTCCGCCAAAGCCGCTTCAACGCTCGTCGGATCCGCAAACGCGTGGTGTTCAAGCACGGCGACTGCAACGTAGCACATTCCAACGTTGCCAAGCGGCGCCGGAAGTATTTGCAGGACATATTCACCACATTGGTGGATGCACAATGGCGATGGACTTTGCTAGTCTTCGCACTCAACTTCCTCCTATCATGGCTGCTGTTCGCTGTTGTTTGGTGGCTGATCGCGTACACGCATGGAGATCTCAGCATGGAAAGACTGGTGAGGGGAAGCTCTGTTCACTTTTTCACGAGTTTCTATTACGGTTGCTTGCTTATAATAATAATAATAATAATAATGTTTATTGCTCCAATTACAAAGTTTTCGTATAAATAATAACGGCAATGTCCAATAAACATAATATACCCAAAAAAGTGTACACTTGCGCTTGGGTTTTAACCATAGTTGAGGTATATTAATACAGCAACTTTTCTTTAAGTATACTAGTCAAATGTATAAATTTGCATTATTTTATGATCAAATAACAATATAGGATTTTAGTGTCAACAAACTGATGGATTTGTAGCCTTGGTTGATTTAGGATCCATGATTTTAATTCAATCTTTAAACGTTTTATACATTTTATATGTTTAAGGTTTGCAGGAATAACATTATAAAATGTTTAGCATAGAAAATAGAATGATCTTTGGTTTTATTAAGTCTAGGAATTAGTGCAGACGTTTCCTTGAATCGCGTTTGATGGTTGTGGCTGATAGAAAGGATTTTCTGAGGGATAATACAGCAGACGCTCGATAATGTAAACTAATGTGTGGTTCACATTATCGAAATGTTTACATTAGCGAACGTGATTTATATAATATTTGATTTATTAAAAGAAACGGTTAATGCATACTATTTATAACAAACAAATATTCTAACAGCGATAAGTATTTTTTTAATCAGTAGAAAAATAATTAACAATTTTTGTCTGCGTAAATTTGCGCTTAGCATTGTCTTCCAATGCCTGCGCCCGTAATTTACGAAGAACAAAGATATCCGTGTATGAAACTTCTTTTCTTTCGCGTCAGTCACTACACTTCTGACTTCAATGGGATCGTTCTCATCATCCTCACTGTCCATATACCTCCTCCTTATCAGCATCATTCATCTGCTTATCTTCGTTCCATAAATTAATATCAGCAGGAGTACAAACAATGTTGGGATTCACTGTTTTCAATAAATCAACAACATCCAATGACACACTAATAACATTATCATTATTGGATCGCAAACGTTCTCTAATTACGCTTAAGGGGACATCGTCTTCTTCTTCATCTTCATTATTGGTACAAAAGAGATCGTTCCAACATTTTTGAATAGTTTGCTGGTTAAGTTCATTCCAGGCCATATGTAAATCTAAAACAGCTTCTCGTAATGTTACTTTTTTTAAAGCCTCAGATAAGTTTTCAGGATTCTTTGATAAGACAGACGAAAGTAGAAACTTCCTATAGTATATTTTGGTGAGTCTTATTATATTCTGGTCCATCGGTTGAATTAACGGTGTTACGTTGGGCGGCATGTACATGACGAAAATTGGCCCATCCCTGCTTCTCAGTTGTTGCTCGGGAGGATGACTTGGTGCATTATCCAATAGTAACAACGCTTTTATTGGAAGCTTCTGTTGTTTTAGGAAACCTTTTACCTACAAATTGAAAACACATCTTCAAATTATGAATAGAGCATTTGTAATAATTGATTGTCATACCTGAGGGACAAAGCACCTGTGGAACCATTTCAGGAATATACTGCTAGTCATCCAAGCGGTTTTTGAACAGTCATAATTTCCCAATTACCAGTGGCTTTATTTTGTGTGAACCATTAGCATTAGTGCAGGCTAGAAACGTTATTCGTTGTTTCTCCGGCTTTCTTCCCGGGGCAGATTTTTCAAATGATGCAGCATAGGTTTTCTCTGGTAACATTTTCCAATAAAGGCCACTTTCATTTACGTTGTAAATTTGTTCCATTCTATAATCTAGCTCGGTAGTTGTTTTGATAAATTTTTCTTTGAATGGTTGCACTAATTGTGGTTGTGCTGATAACTTTTCACCATATATAGACAGCAGTCGAATTCCATATCTTGTTTTGAATCGTTGCCAGCCATCACTAGCTATGAAATTTTCAGTTTCTTTCAGTTTTTCATTTAACAGTCTCGCTCTCTGTTTAAGTACTTCGCCACTAACTGGGACATGATTTTCCCGTTGTTTTAAAAACCACTTATACAGGGAATTTTCCATTTTAGGTGCCTTCGCATTTTTTAAAGTTTTTCTTTTTCCCGGACCTCCAAATGTATTGCACGTTCTTTGTAAAATTTGAGTTTTCATACGCTTAATTTTACAGATTGTTGCTTTCGGTACTCCATATTTTTTTGCTAAACGATCATACGACTGACCGAGTTTGTCGTATTTTATCGCAGAGGTGAATCCCCTACACTCTACATCATAAATCGGGGACTCCCCGACGCCCGACATAAATCATCGAGGCTTCAGCATTTTACCGTCGCGCTGTTTCCGTGCGCCGAGAGTTGTTTACGTTATCGCGCGTTCCGTTTGATCCCATAGAACGAAGTTTGTGTTTACATTAGCGCAAGTTTTCATTATCCCGTGTTTACGTTATCGAGCGTCTACTGTATTTCTTTTTGTTCAACATTTTCAAAATCCACTTTTGCGTAATTTCAATCTTTTTATAATAATTATGCATGACTCCCCCCCCCCATGCTAAGATTCCGTGGGATAGTAATGATTGAACAAGGGCATGATATATCATGTGTAGATCTTTTTCGCTTTAAAAACTGCTGAAATATTTGACTTTCGGAATGAGGTATCTTAATATTCTTACTAAATTTTCAATATGTTTATTCCATCTTAGATGATTATCTATGAATACCCCTAGGTATTTGAAATTATCAACCGATTTTATGCTTCTACAGCTATTCAACGTTTTAATTTGGTGTTGATTAAAATTTGGGGAAAATCTGTTGTCGCAAGAAAATGTAATAATATGTTTTTCGAAATTGACTGTTAAAATCCTTTTTGAGAAAGAATTTTTAACCCTTTGAAAATCTAATACAATTTTGTTTTTTAATGAAGTCCGATCTTTGTTTAAGTAAATAATTGTCGTATCGTCTGCGAAACCAATAATTTCTCCATCGTCTTTTAACTTAAAAATATCATTAATATACTAAGTGACATATAAATCCGAACACCCAGTTTAAATGGTTTTATTTTAATAAAAGTTGGTGAATGTATTTGTCTTACTGTAAATAACAAGTGAAAAACTTTTCAGCCTTATCAGTTGGACTTTCCGGTTTTTAAACTGCTTTTTTTTAATTCACTAACGCCCTAAAAATGAATATTTCAGCCGCAGTAAAGAATCAACGTTGGCGGATTTTGGTTCTTGACATCCTTTACGATCGGTTACGATGCCTAGAGTACGGAGACCTGTACGATTTCGTCAACTTAATGAGTTTGATAGAGGCCGTATAGTGGGACTTCGGGAAGCTGGACTTTCTTTTCGGGCAATTGCAGTTAGAGTGCAAAGAAGTGTAGACACTGTGGTTAGGTGTTGTCAGGCATGGCTTCGAGAAGGCCGTACGCAAAGAGCAACTGGACGCCGCCGTAGAACAACAGACCGTGAAGATCGCCGCGTAAGATTATTGGCCTTAAGTGACCGTTTCTCCACTACCAGGTCCATTGCAAATGAATGGTTTGCAGAACACGGAAGACCTATTGGCATGCGAAGTGTTTACCGACGAATGAGAAGTTTTGGCTTGTTTTCATACCGGCCACACTGGGTCCTCCTTTAACTCGAGAACACCGACGTAATCGCCTTGAGTGGTGCAGACAACGGTCACTCTGGGATCAGGAATGGAACAGTATTGTCTTTAGTGACGAGTCTCGATTTTGTTTAGGCATGCACGATGGTCGTGCCAGGGTTAGAAGGCGACGTGGTGAAAGGAGGAATCTACAGTTTTTTGTTGAAAGACATGTTCATCACACTGTTGGAGTTATGGTTTGGGGTGCTATAGCTTATGGTTCCAGGTCACCTTTAATCTTCATCAGAGATAACATGAACGCGCAGCGTTATATCCACGAAGTTCTAGAACCCCATATTTTACCCTATCTTGACACCCTGGCAGATCCAACTTTCCAACAAAACAAGATAATGCCCGACCACATGTTGCAAGAGTCATAATAGACTTCTTTCAACATAATGATGGCACATTGTTACCATGGCCACCAAGATCTCCCGACTTATCCCCAATTAAGCACGTGTGGGATATGATGGGTAGGAGATTGCTCAATTTGCAACGTCCTCCTCAGACTCTAGAAGCACTTCGAGAGGAGTTGGTGGTTGCCTGCGATGAGATACCACATGATGACATTGACCACCTGATCAGAAGCATGCCTAGGCGCGTTGGAGAATGCGTAGCACATCAGGGTGCATCCACATATTATTAAAGGTCAAAGGGCTTTAAAGCAGTGCAATCATTTTGAAATTTTTATCATTTACTTATTATGCTTCATTAAGTACTTATACAAAATTTTATTAAAATAAAACCATTTAAACTGGGTGTTCGGATTTATATGTCACTTAGTATAATTCAAACCTTGCGTTATTTTTGGGACACCCTTTATAATATTTGCTACTTGTTGATCAATATTGACGCAACACCAGATGAAACCTCACCAACTGATCGCCAAATTGCTCAATTAACTTTTATCACAGATACGTGCCCAAAATAGATCAATAAGCAATGAAATTCTATTTGTGTTTTTCTGGATATCCTAGGTTATCGATTTCTTATTAATATATGGCGCCAATTAATAAAAACTCGGCGATAGTATCTGACCGACATTGCGAGAATGTTTCGTCAAGGAATCTGTGGAAAAATTCCTGCATCTTTATTAGGTCTCGGTGCATGCGATGATGTATAAGGAAAATAAATGAGCTTTTCGAATTGACGGGCGTGAAAAATTGATTATGTGCCGCAGAGTTGCACGTTCCATCTTAACGAGTTTCTCTAGAAGGCCTCTGTTTATACATGGCAGACACGATTATGCTTAACAAGTTTCTGATCACTTCAGCGTGTAGTGTAAAAGTTTTTAACAGCATCTTTTGAGCCTGTCGCCAATAATTAAAGGCGAAAGATAAGACATTTACGGAAGAAAGGATATTATTGCGTACACTACCACTCAAAAGTATTCGAACGCCTGTATATTAATTATCACTGGACAACAAATTTTAGTTTTTTAATTGTATCTTGTGGGAAAAGTGCACTTCTTTGTTAATTTTGGGGCGCTGAATCCAAAAATGACAATGAAATAAAAAAATTAGTT